TTCAGTCTGGAAGAAAACAAGAGAGGTTTAAGTTTATCTCTTGCAGACTGTTTCAGTATCTGTATTTCAGTGCAGCACCTTTTACCCTCGCTCTGGCTCTCACTTTCTCTCCTTCGGTCTGAGGACTTCCTCAGTATACGATCACAAACTGAACTGGTTCCTGGTTCTTAATAGTTACTCAGAAGATCACAGTCTTCTCTCTATTCTACCACTGCAAACACTACTTCCTCTGCTGTACAATGAAGTCATTACATAGTCACGTGATTTTTGTAAATTAATGATACCCTTTGCTGAACCCAGCGCTGAAATCCTACCACAGTTTTTACTTAGTTACTAACTGGCTGCAGCAATTTCAACCAAAAAGTTCCAGTTACTAACAGGAACTAAAGGTCCCTTTGTGTTCCCACCACATCTGGAGAGCTATAAAGTTGAGGTAAACATTTCCCCAGTGATAAAGTTTTAGATATCCAGTGTCCTTTGTTATGAGTGTGCGTTTTTTATGTAGTCTCACCTTTGGGTTTACTGGTCCTCTTCCTGCAGTATATCAGCACAGCTGCTGATGACCCCATGATCATGACGACCAGAATCAGACGCACATACAGCAGCACACCTGTGGTTGTTTGAGCAGTAGAGCATGTTGGTTTTACAGACACTTCCTGGCTCATCATAAATATATCTGGAAGCATAACTGGACTCCTGTTGTCAAATTATTTGTAATGTTGGGACCTCACATTATGGGAGTAAAAGAAGCAGCCTACATGTGAGACAAAAACCCTGAATAAAGAAACACCGCCAAAATCCCTCTTCATTAACTAACACCTCAGTGTGAAATAAAGTTGAATCTAAATAGTGGATTTGTACTGGCTGAGACATGACATCACTAAACCCATATTAAGAGAGAGCACTCTACTCGCATTACCACTGCCGTTGATCCAGGAGGTAACTTTAATCCTATTTCAGCTCTGAACTTTGTGAAAAGGTCGACAATGAGCCAAAGGATCACCATCATACACAACACAACGATGTCACACCTGCAGAAAAAGGATAAGGATTCCACAGTTTTCTTTATTGACAGAAGGATGATGCCTCACTCTCTCCAGAGGCTTGTGTCTGGGCAGAAATAGGTTTTTAACTATACTTATTTGTAACCTGAAGCTTCATTGTGGGGATTTCTATGGGTGAAAAATGGACCGCCGGTTCCTGTTTATTGTTGTGTGCTTTTGTGCCTAGCAGGTTTTATTTTTTTATTGTATTGTCCCTGACAGCGTGTGTGTGACAATAGCGCTTTATCAAGACCAAAGTCAGTAACACAACTGCTGAATGCAAGTCCGCAGCCGGTTCCTGTGTGAAAGTGGCAGTTATTGTGTTTTATCACAGTAATCAGGATTTGTGTAATCTTGGAATCCACAGCGTGTAGCCTGCACTCCAGCTTTACTCCACGCCATCTTGGTAAGGACTAGTATGTCCTCCGTTCTGCCTCCCAACCGCCTGCTTAAGCTTTTCCATTTTGGACTATTGTGTGAGGAGTCACCCATGTGGTCACGTCTGCCAGCTCTTTTTCTCTCTCAAAGTCCCATGGTCAAAATGGGCTAAGATCCTGTGGGACTTCAAGATCCAGACTGACAAACTGGTGATGGCTAACCAACCAGACATCGTGTTGATCGACAAACAGCAGAAGAAGTGATAGATGTGGCAATCCCAAGCGACAGCAACATCCAGAACAAGGAGCAGGAGAAGCTTGAGAAATACCAAGGGCTGAAAGAGGAGCTGATGTGGAAATTAAGAGCAACAGTGGTGCCAGTGGTGATCGGAGCACTGGGGGCTGTGACCCCCAAACTGGGAGAGTGGCTACAGCAGATTCCAGGTAAAACATCAGAGGTCTCTGTCCAGAAGAGTGCAGTCCTAGGAACAGCTAAGATACTCAAACTCCCAGCTTTAGGGAGGACCCAAGCTTTATATTTATATGTAGATGGTGAAATTTCATTCAAACAACACAAATTCTCTACAAACAATATCAATGTATTTTAATCACACAACTACATGCAGCAGGTAATCTATGCGTTTGGTGCAATAATATTCAAATCAACTATAGTGTGTTCATTTGTGTAACAATTAAAGTTCATCAAATAGTTTACATGAACTTTTGGGAGCATCTATCAGTGTTCACAGTGATGGAAATATGCAGCTGTAAATTTAATTGTTAGACTTATTGGGTAACCAGTTTGTTTTATTACTCTCAGTAGAAAATCACCATCTTCAACTCTGATCTCAGAGTCTCCTTGTATGAATCTAGAAGCCGTCTATCCAAATAGCATCTGTACCGTCCTGAGTCAGACTTAGTCAGACTTGTGATGCTCACGTACAGAAGTGTATTAGATACTGGAAAGGTTCCTTCTATATATTTAATGCTGTAACTCTGACCTCTGTCTTCAGATGTTTCAATGAGAATGTCTTTTTCTTTACATTCTTCCTTCCAAAGAAAGAGAAGATGCATAGAAGTGTGATGTTTCCTCCCTCCTTTTCTGTACCGACGAGAATTTCTGTATTGATGAGTACAGTGTTTGCATCCTGCAGTGTTGTTGAAAACAATAGTTACCATCTCCCTGTAAGATAATAATATTGATAAGAATTCCTGCTCCACATTTTCAAAGATCTGCAGAGTCACTGAATTACACTGTAATCAATGTTGATGGCTTTTCATTCATTCCCACATCGTGTTCAGGTTAGATGATTTTTGTTTGTGAGGGGGGGTGATTTGTTTTGTCCCAACTAATCGGTATCGAGTGACGTATCTGTCCTGCTGACCTAAAAAACAAACCCATGTAATGTTTCATTAAATATATTAATACATTTGTTTGTTTGTCTTTTTGTGGGTTTTTTTCTTTGTTGGATCAGTTTTCCATTTCTGCAGTTCTTCCTCTGGAGTTGGCTCAAATAAAATAATTAAAATAGTGGTTTTCTGTTTTCCTGTGGTGTGAAACAGTTTCAGCTACAGTCACGCTGAAGCAGCAGATTAATGACTGTACTTCATAAGTCTAAATACAACAAAATTTACTGTTTATATTTTAAGCTTTATATTTTGAGGACATAAGTAGTGTTGATGAACTACATTTTAAAGTGGCTCAAACCAGACTCTGAACATCCTGTTTGACCACAGAAAACTGCAACATGATAGAGACAGATAAAAAATGGATCAAGACTCATATGAAATGAGTCTCAAAGCTTAGTGACAAACTACAAATAAAGAAAGAAAAATACATGATAAAGAAAGAGAATAACACAAATAGAACAGGTGTATACTCACTGAGGAGGAAGAAGCAGATCGAAGTGTGATGAACTTTCATGTTGGAGGCTCTGATGGTTTAACGCTGCATCTTCTTCCCTGGCAAACCAGGAACTTCTCTCTCCTTTAAATGATGGAGTCCCTCCTCCAAACATCTCAAACTCAACTCTCCTCCCTCTACATTAATGTTTTCTTCATTCCATTATCTGCAAGTTTATGGATGATTTTATATTAAACTAGGCTTTGTTGTTAGTAAGTATTACTACAGTATGTCTACACGGCTAGAAAATCTTAGGTCATTTTAGGCAATTATTTATATCTACATCGCTACAGACAGTGTTTCATCATCACGGTGTTCTTCTTCTGCTTGTGTAATTCCAGTAGTGTATGTTGGCTTTGCCGGTTACTTAGCGAGACAATCAGCTGATCACTAATGTTAATTAGCAATAAAACCGTAAAATTAGCTTAGAGCATGGAAGCATCAGCCAGCTAAACTTTTACTGACTGGTAGAAAAACAGTTATTGTTAGTTGGATTGGTTTATTCTCCAGCGCTGTGCTTTGGCTTGTGGTGTTATGTTAGTTGGATTAATTTCATGTAGTGACTCTCTCTCTCTCTCTCCAGCGCTCTGTTTTGGCTTTGTATGTTATGTTGGTGAGAATCAGCTGATCGCTAATAGACAATAAAATGGCAGCTTCCAGCATCGAACCTCAGATCAGCCAGCTAACTTTGAAAAAATGTGTAGGTGGATTGTAATTTCATGTAGTTCTTCTCCAGCCTCTATTATGGCTTTGTTACGTGGACAGAAATGCTCCTTCCTGAGACAAACAGCTAATGAATATTATTGGTAATGAAACGGTAACATCAGGGAAGCTCAGATCAGCAGCAAAAAATTCACATTTTTCTGACCTGGTGGAAAACATGTATTTCTTTTTAATGCTAATGTTGATATATAACAAGACCGTGTGCCTATCAAGGGACCAATAATTACTTTCCGAATTTGCATTAAAAAATGTTATTGGATATTGCTTCCCACTGTGCACACAAATGTGTAATTTTTACTTTCACATGCTAAATGCCCAGTAAAAAGGAAGGAAAAAGCAGAATAACTGATAAAAAGGAGAAAAAATACCCCAGGACACTCACTTTCAGCCGGGCTGCCACCACAACAGAAAAAGTGACAATAATATATATATAAAAAAAAAAATACCCCTCACCACTAGATGTCAACTTACACACTGAACCTTTAAATCATCTTCAGCCTGTAAGAAATCACTCAATGCCACCTAAATTATCTTAATCGTTTTAATATTTAAACAAATTTTATTACTTTCTACTTTTATAATCTGCACTCTAAACATCAATTCAGGCAATAGATGACCATCACTTAATTATATGCACTGTTGCAGTATATATATTCTTAGATTATTTTAATGAGTTTGGCAGTGTTTTGGTGTTTGAGGTTAATCTATGGAAATTTTATTTATGTCATTCACATCGCATGTAGTGATACAGACGAAGAAACAAAGATTAAGGAAATAAACTTGTTTATTCGTATTCGTATTTATTAGTTCATATTTTTTGTAAAAGGTGAAATTTATCAACCTGCTGACAGAGTGTTGTACTAACTACTGTAGTTAGGAACACTGCAGAACAGTTTTGTATTCAACACAAAACGGGATTATTTCTAAAAATATTTTGTAAAAGAAAAGACCATACTGTTTAAACAGTTAGTTTTAATTCATGGCGAGTTTATTTTCATTAAAAATTTGTAAATTATTGCTTCTAATTCATTCTTTTACCAAAGTGAAAAACATGCTGTAGTTTGGCGAATAAATGAATATTGACTATTTACACTACCAGTCAAAAGTTTCGACACACATTCTGACTCAAATGTTTTTTCTTCATTGTTATTCAAGATGCTGACTGAGAGAATGCCAAGAGTGTGCAACTCTTTCATCAGAGCAAAAGGTGGCTACTTTGAAGAATCACAAATGTATAACATATTCTGGTTTGTTTATCACTTTTTTGTTTACTTATAATTCTAAATGTGTTCTTTCAGAGTATATGTCTTCAGTATTAAGTATTAATGCAATGAAGAAACTAACAAATAAAAATTGAACATTGAATGGTGTGTCGAAACTTTTGAGTGGTGCTGTATTTTCTGAACAGTGGGTTGGGCAAGTTACTCAGAAATTGTAGTAAGTTACTTGTTACTTTTTACACCTTCAAAAATTAATATTACTTTACTTATTACTGGGTATTAAAAGTAAGTACTCATTACGTTACTGTATTTATTTCACTAACCCTCTAACCTCCTTCCTAAAAAGTGTCAGACAACCTGTTCAGCAGCTTATTTTAGAAATTAATCCACTTTACTGGATCAGTTCATTAGGAGTCGACAATCAACCAAACTGAAAAAATTACAGCATCTCAAACTAGTACAGACTATGTATATACAGTATTTAACAAAAAAAATAAACAAAGGAAGTCTCTCCCGACTTTCTAACTAATAGCATATTCATAACAGTAGCAAGGAGTGGGATTTTTACAAAACATAACATTTCTTAACAACGCCACTGGCTGAAATAAAAAAAATTAAGCAAGTCACTCAAAAAGTTGTTGCATTAGTCTATATAATAGAATTAACGTATTGAGAAATTTTACAGTATGATGCCGAAAGACATATTCCCACATTTCAATCGTTAAAGCCTTACTTGTTACGTTGCTATATTACTTTCACTACCCCCGCCCCGTGGAACTACTGTATTCCTGCATCTACATTTATAAAAGCAGTATTCAGTTTTTACAAAAAAAACATTGCTTAAAGTCACTCTCTCCCAACAAGTGCATGCATCACTGGCAGCAGCAGCCTCCCAGTGAGTGTCTTCCACGTTGCTGTGCTGCTTTATGCTTCAATATGTTAGATGCAGACTTTTTCACAGTTTAAATATTTTTTAATAAGTTAATAAGTTAATAAGTTTACGACGGACAACAAAGTTCTTTGCCTGTTAGATTTTGACAAATTCAAAGTAATGGCAATACATACAGCATTTTCTTTTGCCATGGATTGAAGTATGCATATAAGATTAAATTTAATGTTTTATAAATATTACTTATTTACCATTTATACATTTAGAAGGTCGAGACCGTAGTCTTTGTGATACATTAAGATCAATGGAAGGGTTTAGTCTCTTAACAAGCCAGACTGATGAACACCTGTTCTGTTATAGACAGAAATCAGAAATCAGTAACACAGTCCTCCAGTCCTTGTCACAAGTGTACTTGTCATTTTAACAAAAACCAAGTCTTACCTTAATGTAGCAATATGCAGGGGGTTGATGGAGAGCACGTTTGCATATTGGCTGAGCAGACTCCTTGCATGGTTGTTGTCACATCTCAACACTGGATCTACACTTTTTGCAATATCCATAAACCTTGCTGAACACTCCCCAATTAGAGTATCCAGTAAGAATAAATCCTTTGTCCAGTTCTGTTTCATGCTTTGAACGTCTGCTGTTTGGTGCCAAGTGCAGCTGGCTGCTTGACAGGCCTCTTGTAAATGTAAATGCTCCGTACTTCTATAGTGCCTTTCTAGTCTTTTCGACCACTCAAAGCGCTTTTACTCTACATCCGCATTCACACACATACGCTCAACCAGAATCTAACATTCACACACAATTCGGGGTTCTTGCCTTCGACCTGGGGGAAAGCCGGGATTGAATCGCCAACCTTCCGATTAACAGCCAACCCGCTCTACCTCCTGAGCCACAGCCGCTCTTGTGTGGTCTTGTGTTGTTTTCATCCATACAAACACTACCTGACTTGCAGAATGTTCCGATTTCTTTCCAAAGGCCATCCCAGTGTTGCTCGGTCCTCATTTATTCAAAACATCTGATCATGGACTCCACAACACTTGCGGCCATAGCCAACGTCGATTCCTTTACCTGAAGAGCCTTGTGTGTGACATGGACCACGCTGAGTAACTGATGGAAAGTAATAAGACAGACACAGAACTTAAATCGCGTCACCGCAGTGAGCAGACCAGACGCAAACCTCCGGTGAGGTGGCACAGACAGCCCGGACAGGGTGGACGTCAGGGCGTTCATTGACTCTTTCACTGCAGACACATTCTTCCATCTGCATGCCCATCTAGTTTCACTAAGTGCTGTTAGCTCGGCTGTGATGCCTAACTCCTTCTGAGTGTTTTTGGACGGCTGATGAGTCCCCGTGAAAGGGGAATTCAACCTGGCACCGAAAGCCTCGTTATGCTTTGAATACCATTTGCACATCTCAAAAAAATTCCCGCGATTGGCTGAACTGTCATCATGCCCTCGTAGAGCTAGCCCTTGCTTGCCAAAATACAGCAACATATCAACGACAACGGCAGCAAACTCCCTGTTGGTCTGAACAGCAGCCTTGTGAGAGCTGCTCAGCTGTGCTGAAATGGAGGCCAACCTTTTCAATGTTAAATAGCTTAGACATCCACTATCATTAACTGTTGCTCCAGTGTTGCTAGCGCTGCTGGCGGTATGGTTTCCAACTTTGTCTTTTCCTTTGAAAAATATCAGAATATCCATCTTGTCAATGTGAGGTGAACTGACTGTCTGGCTTGTTAGAGATCTTTACCAAGAAATTTAGGCATGCTCTGTTTGAGTTTGAGCTTAAAAAAAATAAAAAATAAAATTAAGATGAAAACATAAACTGAATTCTCAGTTATTAAATGCAAGTTATGTTTTTGTTAAAAATATATTTTATATATCAGATTTTTTTACTCTCCACCCCAATTCCACTGCCTTGTAGCCTATTGGTTAACCAAACCAACAACCAGAGCTCATTCACAAAACATAAACGAACACAAGCACAAGATGGTGGTCATAGCGACACAAACAGTAGGCTAATGAAGGCAAAACAAGGAAGACACCGACGTTTGTATTTATTTTAGCCTAATTGTGCACAATACAATACCAAGGACAGCATCCTGTTCACATATCTTTTAGGAAGGAATTTTTGGGTAGGCTTAAGCCTTATCCACCGGCCCTGCCTATCTCCCCTATTTTTCTTTAGGCTTTTTGTGAAAACAAATCACTTGAACAACATAAGGTTGAGCTTCTCGACTTAAAGTGCTTTGACCTGCCACGCAATTGCGCACACATCAAAGAAAACAAACCAAATCGTGCTCTGGTAATGCAGCGTTACTTGGATTAGTAACTGTAATATTAGGCTATTACTGTTTGTAAATAGTAATCCCTTACACTACTCATTACTGGAAAAAGAAATAATATTACAGTAACGCATACAAATATTTTATTTTGGTGGAAAAAAAGGATTAAGAATTGTAAACTTTCCTTAAGTTAAAAAGTTAATAATTAAGAACGATGAGGCATGAAAACAGTATCTAACAGCAATAACATATATTTACACATTACTGTTGATGCAAAAAAACACAAAGAACTTATAGAATTGTCTTTTTTTTTTTCAGCAGCTAGTTGCTGTTTCACAACATTTTCAGTTACTGTAAAACCATTTTAAAATTTTGTCACCGACAATTTGTCACCAAGAACATTTAACATAACTGACATAGTTTACTGTTAATTTCACCGAAGTAAATCAACATAATAGTTTTCCAAAATAACATTGCAGTTCACTGAAAAGATTAAAACCCTAAGCATCCTGGAGTTAACCCATGCTGAGTGGATTTAATCAGTGAAACTTTCAGATCTGTGAACAGTTTTCATTCAGAACTATTTTCCCCAAAGTGTGAAACTAAACTGGCTGTTAGTGCAGGAGGAGGCAAATCAATCGCATGATATAGCGACAAGCTACTACTATCGATAGCAAACATTGTTAGGGACGCACCGATCCAATACTGATTGTTAGCATACTTACTAGATAACTCGGACCCAGTAACGTTGCTGTTAAGTGCTCTTGCATCAGTTGCTGTCTAGTTTTGTTGGCTAGCATGCCACCTGAGTTTAAGCAACATTATGCTGCTGCAGGACAGCGAGGAGATCGAGGGTGTCAAGCCGGAGTTGGGGGAGCGGGCAACATAACTGGGCTTAGCAGCCTCTCTGGACAACAAATACTTCTTTAATTTTAACTTGCACTTTAGTTAAATAAGTAATATTTAGCTTAGCCAAAACAACTTAATTTTAATTAAACTTTCATATCTTCAACACAAATATTTAAGATAAGCTGAAAGAAATTGTAAAAGTTGTTCTAACTTGAAGCTTTAACATGTTTGGCGTTCACCTGTGAGAGTAAATGAAGCTACTGCTGATGTTAACTAACAGTAGAGTACAGAGGAGGAGAAGTGTCTTCGGCTTGCCTGCCATCCAAGCTCGCTTCTACCCGCGGCACAGAGTAGAGGACATTATCTGCTTTACCACAGGGGGAGCTGTTGAGCGAGGCAGCTGCAGCTTTGGAAAAATCCACCTGAGAATAATTGAGTTCATTCGAGTTGTCTTCAGTCTGAAAGAAATCAAAGAAAGCTTTTTTGAGGCTCTGTAGATTATGTTTATATGAAGCTAGGTCTATATAACTATAGCACGTTTCTTCTTACAAACTGGGGTCCTGCTACTATTAATTTTTCTTAGAAACCATTTAATAAAAAACATAAATGTCCTTATAAATTTGAAACAATAACTGATGTAAAGTTTGTTTGAGACCACTTTTTTGAGGACATGGCCACAATCGTCTCTCTATTTCACAACTGCTGTACAAATAAATAGCAGTTTCATTTGCCTCAGACAAAGAATGTTATAAAACATTTCGACATCCTGGTTGAATCTTGAAAGATTTATTGCAATGGTGAATCCAGAAAAATCTCTAAAGGTGTTTTTGTTTTGTTTTTTACCACAGTGTTTACTTACTGTCTTCTGAGAACTGGCTGCAGTGACAAAGCTGTAGTCATCGTCTGTGGTTTCAACTCCATTTGGTTTGGTGTATTTAGCGTAAGTGTAAACTGTGGATATTTCTACAGGAGAAGATCTGCTCTGTCTGTCTTCATCTCTGATCTCCTCATACATTGGATTAGGCTGCCCGGAAGAGAAGAGGGGATTGGTTTGTATCACTATCAGCAGGTTCTATGAACACTGAGGCTGAGATTTCCCATATTTACTCAAACTTGCCTTTGTGACATTAGCATACTCGCTTTCTACAGGAGGTTCTGAAAAACAAGCAGTTCAGAAGATTAAACCAATTAAAGAAAAACATGCAGCAACAAAAACGTTCCAAAATTTTCTGCTACTTAACAGGAATTTAAAGAGGAACTAAAAGTCCCTTTTGTGCATCCCTGTTTGTGTTCCCATCACATCTGAAGAATCAACAGGATGATACAAATTAGACAAATGACGGATTAAAAGATTTTCACACACCTTATTCCACTTTCACACTAGGAAACTTTCTTTGTATTTACTGCTGTGTGACTCTGATATTTGAGTTGAATGTAATGAATGAAAGAAAAGAAGACTGAAAACTGAACATTCACTTCCTCACATAAACAGTTACCATCTGGTTTCATGTTTAGTTGACAGCATGTTACGAGTCACAAAACTAGCAAGGATCGGGTTCTACAGGAACTGCCAGATTCAGTTTTGGACAAACCTTAATTGCAAAACAAATTTCCAAATATTGTTTTCTCTATGTCAGTGTTAAAGTTGTGAGATAACAATCCTTTTCTACTCAACTTTTGTTAACAAATTACTTAGACAACCTGATCCAGGGTCCCCCTAAAATCATGTAACCAGAAGAAATTAAAATTTTCTCCCATAAATAAACTTTACCTTTGAAAGATGAGGTAATTTAAACATTAGTTTTTACATACACCTGTGTGTTATTTGTGAGAATACTTGTTTCACATGTGAAAGCGGCTTTACAGGTGGTTATTTTTGTTTGAGAAATACAAACTTTAAGATGTCCTGTTGCCTTTTTCTGTATGTGTGTTTCCTGTAGGCTCACCTTTGGTCCTCTTCCTGCAGAATATCAGCACAGCCGCTGATAATAAGATGATCATGGCGACCAGAATCAGACCCACATACAGCGGCACGCCTGTCGCTGTTTGAGCAGTAGAATGTGTTGGTTTTACATTAACACTTCCTGGTTCATGGAATAAAAGGAACATACAGGATTGGAGTTCATGCAGTGTTGTCAAACTAATAGTAATAGCAACTAAATGTTTAAGCTATTAAATCAATAGTACGGTAGGGGCAGGTTTGGTTATTACTAAATATGAAAGATATTTAGAAATATTAATAAGTTTTTACAAATTATTAGGGCTGCAGCTAATGATGATTTTAGTATTCAAAGCTTCTATAGATTATTTCAACGATTCATCGATGCGTCGTTCAAGAAGTACTTTAGCATGGCGGCAGCAGCAGCGATAGAAGTGATAGATATTTATTGATCCATTCGGAAATTGCCATCTTGTGACAGGAGTTTTGAAGTCGTTGTGGCGTTCACACTACGTGACTGATTGGTGACAGGGGGCCACAGACTACACGAGCTGACAGCGGTTGTTTCATCCGACGCTGGTCTCCAAACCACATTTTGTCAAGAAAATGTGAAACGGGAAATGAGCGATCCTGCACACGAAACAGCTGCTGTTTGTTATTATAGAGATAGTTATTAAGACAAAGAATCTGGGTGAAAGGATTGATTAGCACATGCAGGTAGCAGGGATTGTCTGAGCTACAGAGAGAGCTGGAGGTGAGTTAAAAGGTGCAGCTCCCCGACACCCAGTTAACTCATGACTGTGAGGTTACAACTCACGGCCCAAAAAGGAGAACAACAGCGTGCTGTACTATAGTTACATGGATTAAACGAAGCATCAACGCAAAGAATTTGCCATTTATAGGGTGGCATTAATGGCATTTATAGGCTGAATAATAATTCACCCTCATCAGACAAGAAGGCGGAATTTGAAGAAGAAGATCTGCAGTAAGACAAAGAATCTTTGTGACAGTGTGACTATGTAGTATTAATGGCAGAAATGTGCTCCTGTAAGGTTTTATTTTTTCATGTCAATAGAAGGCTATATTTAAATTGCTTATTATAGTTTTCCAGATCACTTTAACATTTACCTTGAGGAAACAAGAACAAATTGAGCAAGAAACTTTAATTTAAATTTCAGTCTTTATGCTAATTCTATGACTCCCTGCTATTGTGTATTTGTATAATATTGGGTTGTTAACTGCAATGTTCACACATGCGTGGTACAAATTGGGTGGGAATAAGGATGCGTAAGTGCAGAACAGACCATACAGAAAGGTGGCGCAGCTACAGCCAATCATTACAGACTCTTACCTCGAGCTGGACCTTACTGAATATTTTAACACTATTTTACATAAAAAAGGTGGGCAGTCAAGGTTGAATCTGAGCACTGACCATCACAACAAGCAGTTATTACAACACAATACACAAATAACCACAGGCAACTGTATTTAAAAGGCATAATATGATTTATTTCAGCACAGATTAAGGATCAATAACTTCAGTGTGTGTGTGTGTGTGTGTGTGTGTGTGTGTGTGTTGCTTAATAGATGGGGGAAGACCAAGGAACAGGGCGGATATGACCACATGGGTGTCTCGTCATGCAATGATCCAAAATGACCGGCAGGCCCGCGAAATGTAAACAAGTTTAGGTAATCCAGCAGAGTGCTTCTCTGCTCGGATTCTCAGATAGCCGAGTTACCGCACTGTCGGCGGGTTCAGTGGCGCACTGATCCTTGGAGCAGCAAAGAAATCAGTGGGGGTGATCCTTCTCTTTGCCACTTGTCGATATGAGTGCCATGGCATGAAATATAATGAGCCAGAAGCTCAGTATGGAGCCTGGACGTGTTCATGTGCTGTTGTTGGCAAAGGAGGGATTGGCAGTACTTTCATTGCTGGTTGTTGTTTCTCAGCCACTGTGTTTGCAAAACATCTGAAGCCTCGCTGAAGATATTGAGCTTGACTGAGTGAGAGCATGTGTGAGGAGGAGAGCTGTGAGCATGTGCACAGGCAGTCCTAGCTCTAATGGGTTGTTTTGTTCACGGAGTGGTGGATTCTTGTAAATGGCATTAGGAGCAGTATGAGGAGCCACGGGAACCTGATTTATTTTTACAGAATTTTTGTCTCATCAGGATATAGTGACTATTAAAGAGGTGGTATTATGCTTGTTTTCAGATTCAAAATCCTATTTACGGTTTGTACCAGAACAGGTTTACATGGTTTAATTTTCAAATAACACCATATTATTTTTTCATGCTGCACTTTGCTGCAGCTCCTCTTTTCACCCTGCGTTGAAGGCTTCGTTTTAGCTATGGAGTGATACATCTTGTCTCTACATGATCTTTGTTGGGAGTTGCACATGTGCAGTTCCTAGTTAAGGACTACCAGTTAATCAGAAGCAGAGAAGGGCAGGTCAATGAGAACCAGCTTCGATTCAGCTGTAGGCTACATGTTGCCGACTATCTTAGCAACATGTACTGGAGCAAGAGTTTCAGAGTGGTGATTTATTAATCTGTAACAAAAGTATCTTTCATCCATAAAGTTTTAACTGAGCTCTGTCTCTACATCACAGTAACAGCTTTATGTCCATCGACTGCCTGGAGGGTAGCTAGTGTTTGGAAGGGAGAGGAGAGCTGTGTGCTGCAGCTCACTGTTTTTCCACCGGTGTTTTTGAGCGCGTGTCGGGCTAGCTGCTTGATGAGCATTATGACGCACATTTTGCTTTCATCCATGTGTCGTCAAAGGGATGAAAGGGAAACGGCTGGACTACAAACGTGCTGTTTTCAAGCAGTTCAGAGCAGAGTTTTCTGTGGGAGATGGGAACTCCCTTTGGGCTGGAGTTTGGGCTTTTTGACTTTGCAAACCTATTACATGCACAAAAAAGATATATAACTCAATAAAGGAGATGGAAAAAGGCAAAAAGCACAATACCACCTGTTTAAGGCAAATATGACAAAGTTATATTAAAAAGATTTCTCTTCTGCTTCTTTAAGTAGCAATGAACAGACAGAGATTTAGCTGCGGTTTCTTGGTTATTCTAGGCTTTTGTTTTAAATGCAGGCTGCTTCTTTGTTTTCCATAAGGTGAGGTCCCCAACAATAACAAAAATTCATTTAAACTGACAATTAATTGAAGTTCTACACTTACAGGCACTCATGTACTTGCACAAAATCACAACCCTAATAAATGAAAGCATACTTTATCTACCTGTATGCAAATATCCTGCATGCACAATTCAAGTCGGTGTTTTTAATTAAATAATCCATATTAATTAACTCACTGGTGAAACTAATCTAATCAAACTGTGTACAGTGTTTAAGTGAAAGACGGAGAGAAACTTTGACAGGAAAGAAAAGACAAAACACTAATGCTCATAAAGCTCAGGGTTTGTGGGGTTTCAAATTAAATGACATGATTCAGTGGGTCTGAAGCTCTTTCTGAACGATGTAAACACACCTGGACCTGCAGCTGGTGTTCTATGTTCCTGATGAGTCTGCTTGGTGGCTTCAGGAGAGGCTGATGAAGGTGTGGAGCTTTTTGAACTGGTGCTCAAACTCTGTGTTGTCGTCAGTGTGGAGGCTGATGGGACTGATGTTGACAAAGGTCTGGGAGTCCAGTTTGGTTTAGAAGTGGTTGGATCTGTGAAACATGAATAACAGAATGAAACAATCAGATCCTGATTGTTCAGATACAAAGAAATCCTGATGATCATATGCTCCTTGTAGAAATCGCTATGGTAATATTTCAAATAACTCAAATAAAACAACAATGTTTCAATGTATTTTAAATCACACAGCTACATGCAGCAGGTAATCACTGTGTTTGGTGCAACAGTCTTCAAATCAACTGTAGTGTGTTCATTTGTGTGACAGGTTGAGTTCATCAGATAGTTTATATGAACTGTTGGTGTTAAAGGAGCATTTATCAGTGTTCACATTAATGAAAATATGCAGCTGTAAATATAATTGTTAGACTGAACTTATTGGGTTATTTCAAACATCAGCAACTGTCAGTGAACAGTTCATTTCATGTCTCTCAGTAGAAACTCACCATCTTCAACTCTGATGTCAAACTCCTCATATGAATCTGGAAACAAAAATCTGGTCAATCTACATCTGTACCGTCCTGAGTCAGACTTGGTCAGATTTTTGATGCTCACATACAGAAGTGTGTCAGATACTGGAAAAGATCCTTTTTTATATTCAATGCTGTATCTGCCACTCTGAGCTCTGTCACCAGCTGTTTCAACGAGGATGTCTTGTTCTTCACATTCTTCCTTACAGAAGATCTTCCTGCCTCCAGAGAAAGTGAAGAAACATGTACGTGTGATGTTTCCTCCCTCCTTTACGAGGATTTCTGCATTGATGAGACCAGTGTTTCCATCCTGCAGTGCTGTAGAAAAGATGAACAATCAATAGTTAGTATCTTTACTGCCAATAAGATGCAGCAGTCTGATTGGTTTTACATTTACACAGATCCACCGCGTCATACTGGGAGCTGCCCAGTTCAATCAGTCTTATTTAATCCAACAGAAGTTTTATTTGAGGTCGTTCAACAAAGATTTTATTCATCAGAATCTTACAGTCTGACTCAGACTTCTCAAAGAAAAAAGGACAAAAACAGTTGTACCAATCAAATTTCTCAGTCAACAATTAAACACATGTAAACCTTTTACAGTACGATCAGACAGAATACGAGGAAAATTTAGAGGCAGTGCAATGGCATACAAAGTCAATGGAAAGACGCGATTGGTGTGCGAGAATTTAAAATATTTTTCTATTTATTTATTTATAAGGACAGCACACACCTAAATTTTAAATACCATGTTGATTATCTTGCTAAAAAATTTAAATTCACATTGGGTTTTCTGTATAGGCTAAAGTCCTGTTTCTCCATGGCTTCATGAAAACGCTTAGTTGCTGGCATTTTTCTGTCACAGATTGATTATGGGGATACTAGCTACAGGTTTGCCTCTCTGTCCACCTTGTCCAAACTTGACCCCCTTTATCACTCAGCTCTCAGATATGTCACTAACTCTAGTTTTAGGATCATCATTGTATACTGTACAGATTGGTAGGATGGTCATCTCTTCATTTGCGCAGGCTCGAACATTGGTATATTTTAATTTACAACGCCATCATAATCTCAGGTCACATAACTGGCTACACTTCAAAGTGCCTGCTATCAGAACAGAGGCTGGAAAGCTAAGCCTGTTCTACTATGGCCCTTGGTCTTGGAATGATGTGCAGACCAAACTCAAACTACAATCCCTCATCTCTCTAAATGATTTTAAACGTAGAATAAAGGAGGTGGTCACTGCTAATTGCAGCTGCTTTGCAAATTCTATTACCACTTAACTGTAACGGGGTAGACCTGTATCAGCCAATTTTGAGCGCAGTGGTCGTGTGAGGGGTGAGCACTTAGAGTGAGTGTGCATTTGGTGGGTGTGGTTTTGCACTTGGGTTAATTGCATGGGTATGGACTAATGGCAGACAGGTGTTCTTGGGCATGACATCCATCTGCAAACTATTTAACCAGCCACACACTATGCTCAAGAGTCTTCTGTTTGTCTCCTGTGTGCGGGTGTGCTGAGGCTGCTGATTCTTTGCAAGAGTGTGGTACACGGCTGGGTCGTGGTCTGGGTTACTCAGTAGAGTTACCAGAGGCCCAAGCAGGGAGGCTACAACCGACCAGCCTGTGACCAACAGCAGACCCGTTCCTGTTGTGTTTGGCTTCGCCCACGCAGGAAGATCAAGTTGCGCACACCCAGCCACGACAAACTGCAGTTCTGTTTAACTAACAGTTTCCCCCATTTGAACTCTCTTTAACTATCTTGGCCTCAGTTTTGTTTTAACCCTTCGCATGTCTATTTTATACAAATAAATTTGGAGGTTATATTTTGTTCTATTGTTGCCCGCTTATTTTATGCACTGGCTGGTCAATTGGGAACTAGTTTGGGGGTGTTGCATAACTCCTTATTAAATCTATGATCTAATACTGTTGTTTCTGTGAACAGTACTATGTAGGGTATTATGTAATACCTAAATGTTTGTGTTGTTGTGGAGACTTGTTTTGCTATGTTGTGATTGGTTTCTTATTATTGATTGTTATCTGTTCAATCCTGCTATCTGACCCTGTCTTGACTAGATCTCACTTGTTTAAAGAGGTTTTAACCTCAATGTGACATTCCTAGTTAAATAAAGGTTTAAAAAGAACATTAACCAACAGTAGTGGAAGTGTGCCAGTGTTAGCCTACTGGCTAATTTTCAACTGCAGTCCTTTCGCCAAGATCTTTTGAAACCTTAAAAATTATAAATAATACAGAGCAAGTACATTGAAACGCTATTTAAAAATAACAACAAAACAGGAATTTCTTAAAAAAAAAAAAAATGCTACATAAGCCATGCGAAACATGCACAAATAGTGAGACATCAGTACAGCAACAGCAGACACCATTTAGACACAGCTAGCCATGCAAATAACAAAGTAACAACACACAACCTACTATTGTTACATGCAAAAATGCAGGATCACAAGAAAAAGTACACACAAGTATTATCACGTTGGTCTTATCTCACTCATATCTTAACTTAAGGGACTTAAGCTTTATGAATCTACCTCATAAACATCCTGACACAAGAAGGGACTAGACTGGAGTAAAATAACAGTTTTTTCTGAGTTCATTAAGAGGTTGTAGCTGAACACAAACAGACACAGTCAGTGTGTCTGTTGCTTAACAAATTGCTGAAAATGATGCAAGGAAAAAAAACACTTTACTTTCTGTCTGAACACATGTGTACCGAACAGTGTTTGTTAAATGCACAAACATTACCGAGTTAGAAGTAGGTTAGTGAAAAGAAAGGCCTTGTGATTTTTATCGATCCCAACTTATCCAATTAATGCTGCTTGTTTTCTAAGATTGATTTTCTGCTCAACTATCTGCAGTTGTACTCAGTAATCAGCTCCACTAGAGAAGATGGAGGTAAAGAGTTCAAACAAATACTGCTATTGGGGTTTTTGTTTTGTAATTTGATTTTTATTTGTGCATCACTGAAACTTAAATTAAATCCCAGTGACCACTTATTACAAGCCCCAAGCATTGTCCACAGAACTTTTTTTTCAGAGTCTTGGGTTGCATACATCTTACACTGTATAAAACTGTATAGCTTCAATGAAGGGCTGGAAAATCTGATTCAGAAAATGTGGGATACTGATAGTGATTTTACTGACCTTAAAACTACTTAAGGGTAAATGAAAGAAGAATAGAAGTATGTTTTGTTAAACTTCTTATTTATTGCATATAAAATGTATAATCATCTTTTAATCGCTTCTTTGCGTGTGAAGACAGGTTTTCACATGTAAAATTAATATTGTGTGATGGTAGGCTGACACATAGGGAAAAATGTTCACAAACTGTCACATACCACGTCAGAAGAAAAAAAATGTCCTAAAAACACATAAGAATTAGTTCATCAGCAAGACTAAGAATAATTTGCTGCTGTCCATCCGAAGCTGATTTTTTTTCTGTTTTCAGCTCTAACAGAGTAAACAATGATTTAAGAGCCAGTAATAATTAAACATTCACAAACTGTCTAGATTTTGAAAACACTGTTAGTGCTGATTAATGTGGGGCGTTCTTGTCTTCAAAATCTATTAAATATGTAGTTTGCTTTTTTGTGATAATTTATTGAAAAGTAGTATTGGGATGAAGTTACAAGTATGTTGAGCCACACAGAAAACCCACGAGTGGTATCTCGTACATGGGCCAAACATCCACAAGAGAAAAGTCAGAGCGACTCTTTCGCACGTCTCCCTTCCTCTCACAACCCTCTATGTGTCCTTGTGTAAATGTTTCCTGTGTTGTGAAGCTACAACTGAGCCGAGTGAAGCAGCAGAATATATTCCTCTGTTATAGTCAAAACAATAAAATAAAACTGCAATGTTTGTATGAATTCTTACACAATACAAAAAGAGAAATATATCTAAACAGGACAATTAGAACATTTCTGTTGTACTGTAGTTTTACTTGGTAAAGTCAAATAAAAAGTAGCAGAGTGAGTCAGTTCCTTTACCAATTTACAGGTTTTTTTTAAATAAAGTCAGTAGTTCCTGTATGACGTGTAACCACAGAAACCACAAACATGTTGTTGGAATGATATGAGATGTGACGAAACAGAGTCAACTCATGAGAAAGTGTTTCCCCATCTTCTGCAAAGTTTAACCAACTGTAAGTAAAGAAAAGATAGAAAGAAAAAAGAGATAATGATAGAGAAAGAAAAAAGAGATAATGATAGAAAAAGAATAAGTGTACTCACTGAGGAAGAAGAAGCAGATCAAAGTGTGATGGACTTTCATGTTCATGTGGCTTTCAGTGAGGCTCTGATGGTTTAACGTTTCTTCTCTTCCGTCTTTACCGGCAAACTAGGAACTACTCACTTCTCTAAACGATGGAGTCCCTCCTTCAAACATCACACACCCTGATCTCTACTCTCCTACTGCCTACAGCAAATTCAATGTATGAATCCCTATTGTTACAAGAACAGAGGGCGTAAGCATCACTGTTACCTCTTTCCTTCCACTGGAAGCAGGAAGTACTTCTGTGAGGTCTGAAAGTTTGTTATTTAAGGTGCCAGAGAGACAAAATACAGTCCACGAAGTCCAGTTTGAGGAACATATCATTGAGTTTTAAGGAAAGTTATCACAGTGACATTTATTTATCTTTTCTTGCCAGGATCACGAGGTAAACAATAGGAAAACACTTGAAGTTATAAAGTAATTCACCAGGAATGACGTCTGGTAAAAATTTTATCAAATTCAACTTTAAGAACTGTGTTTGCGGGATCCCCATGTGTTGTTGCATTCATCTTAATAGTTGTGTTTTCACTTTTTAAATGCTTTATCGCTACTAAAACACAAATCACATGAAGTTAAATGTTCAAAGAGAAACATAATCTTTGCATTAGTGGAGAAATGAATGAAAAGAATGTTTTATTTCAGACTTCTCAGTATCAGACGTCAGAGGATCTTGAAGCATCTAGTGGCCACTGCTGGTACTGTACTCATCTTTAGGCATGTTGCAAATTATTTTTAATATTTAGATGTTGGACGGCAATTACATAAGGCACATGTCTCTGGTGTGGGAGACCTAGGTTTGATTCCCACAACGACACATTCTGAGCAAAACACTTAACCCCTAGTTGCTCCAGAGGAGTATGACCTCCTATAATAAGCAATTATAAGTTGCTTTGGATAAAATTGTCAGCTAAATGACTAATTATTATTAATATTATTATGTGTAAGCATAAACATAGTTTGCACACTACAAATCTGGAAAGCCACATAAAGAAATTAACTGTCCTGAGTTGCCTGACCTGGATGCCTTACAGATGCAGTCACATTATGTTAAAGAGGTGTGCCGCTTCATGTAACCAAATGTCTTGCTTCATACTGATATTATCTGTATTGCTGCTCAGCACCATTTCACTCCATCTATTTGACCAAACAGAAACATGCAGCCTGAGGACTTCCTTCTCGAAACACCAGAAACTTGTGGTTTGAAATATGATCACAAAATGGCCCTGTTAACAAACGCAGTATTAACAGCACTCCTTTTACATTATTGGACTTGGTATGTCTAAAAAAAAAGAACCAGAAATACTGTCATTTTAAATACACACATTCTTCTTCCTAGTCAATACTTGGCACCTACTTTACCCACAATTCAACTTGACCACTAACCGTTCAGAGACTGTGGTTTGTCATACTAGTAGCAGCTAATGTAGCCTCAAGCTGCTAACTTGTAGCAGAGATGAGGAGCTACAGAGGTCTGGTAAGCTCACTTTTTCTAACTCCTACAAATCCCCAGACTTCTCAAACAAGTAATCGTTAACCCCAACCGCCAGGTGAATATATCAGAGTTCACACAGCTCGCTCTAGAGCCACAAAATACGTTGGCTCTCCCCAACACCTGCAAACAGACTTTGATGTGTAAAATGAGGGGGGTTCCCCTTTAAGGCCTTGCTAAGAGACTCTTAACCCAATCAAATCACCGTTGTATTACATTGTTACACCACCAGTCACAGGCTTTAGTTGAACTGGGTAGCTCCCAGTGTGACTATTTGGATTTATGTGAATGAAGGAATAATTGTGATGGCAGATAATATAATGATAATCTTTATTTTTAGAGCACCATGTTTCAAAGTGCTTTTACAAGACAATAAAACACATCTAAAAACAGATAACAAGATACACGGTAAAAGCAAGAAAACACTTAAGAAATTAAAATACAGTTTTAAGAAGGGACATAACTTGACTGACTCATTCATTCACATATTATTTTACTTTTATTTATTTATATATGTCTGCATCAGTGTTTTGCACCCCTGTAAAGGGTTTTAGTTAGTAAAGTGGAGAATTTGGCTGTTTTAAGTTGTATTAGTGAAGATCGGCAAGTCAACAGGAACTTGAGTCTTGAGGAAGACCAAGTGTGGTTGAAACGTCGGCATTAAATTGGATGTGCGGCCATCTTTTCTTCACATGTCAATGCCATGACCAGCACCTCGGCTATGGTGTGCATTCACAAGACAACTCTCTATCCAAACAGTGTTATTTGTGTTGTATCTGAGTGAGAGTATAGTAGATTTGGTCCGGATCCCTGCAGGCTGGATCAAGGCTCTGGTAACGGCTCTTGTCACATGGGGAGAGAGGAGTGTTGCCGCAGGGGACAATCTGTAAATTCAAGACCATTAAAAATGCACATGCAACAGCAACTTTAACAAAAAATGCTAGCCCACCTGAAACACAGCATTAGCCGGCCTGGAAATGTATTTTTGGACGTGAGAGACAGATCAATAATCAATATGCGAAAGGAAAAGATAAATGAGGTAAAGAAAGTCACCTTACCGGTGCAGCCGGAGTTTCCTCTTTTGTTCAAACCTGTGGAACAGTCAAAGTACAGTTCTCTATCTTATTGAGTATTTATTAAAAAAGTGGAGAAAAAGGTTGAAAGATGACTCACCATCACAGGCCTTCCTCTTTTTTCTATAGAGGAGCAGCAGAACTACAGCCAGCAGCATAACCACCACCACAGTTACACATACAACCAAAACGAGACACCAGAGGGGATACAATTCTTCCTGTTGCAGAAAACATAATTAAAAAAATTCTTGTGGGAGGTTTGTATCACATGTAATAAAAAATAAATAAAAATAGTCATGATAGCAGCGCATTCTTATAACCTTGGTGTCGCTTTTTAACATCCCGGCTACCCCATTTGCGTTGTCAATGTATAGGGCCCCACAGTCAAGTAAGCAACAATAAATATGCAATGTCCGGTTACACTTTTAAAATAAAATCTTAACATTGTGAAACATCAGCATTTTGAAACGTCACGTTGTTCTTATTAGTTATGTAATGTTGCAATTTGGTTGGGTATAGGCACCAAAAGTACTTGGTTAGGGTTAGGAAAAGATCATGGTTTGGGTTAAAATAACTACGTACGTTAGTTAACACTTAAGTAAGTTAAGAAACGTTACTTGTGTTACAATTTACATAACCTACGTAATTTAAATAAAAGTATTTAATGTTGAAATTTTTGTTTTACATGGGACAAGAACACCTGCCTCCTGGTTGAAAAAGTCTGGTTTCTGGCCCTCCATCCATCCCAACCACCTCCTGATTTGGGCTTTTCTGTTAAATATCATATACCTACTTAGATTTGTCACTTTTATAGGTTTTGGTGCAGATTATATCAGCGAGGTATGACTTGTCAATTTGCTAGATTTAAAAGGTGCTGGCAGGTTGATTGTGTTACCTTTGTACAGAGCCAGTTTAGCCGTGTCCCCTTTTCCAGTCTTTATGCTAAGCTAACAGGCTACTGACTGTAGCTCCATATTTACAGTGCATGCATGCCAGTGACAAGTGAATAAGCCATTTTCCAAAATGTCAAACTGTTCCTTAAAGTGTGTGTTAACAGTAAACAGCAGCAACAGTAAAGTGCAAAAGGAGCAAACAAGAAAACAGGGAGACCTGTAGCTAAAATACACTTTATAACAGGAACAATTAGGAATATAAGCCTGTTTCTAACATATTGTAAGGCAGCTTCAGATAAAGGCTTCGTTCTCTCTGCAGTTGGGGTAATTGAAAGTATTTGAACAAACTAAATACATCTGGTTCTTTAAAACATCATTGAAATTGTAAAATATTTCTTTAGACATACACAGACATGCAAAAACATTCCCACTTACCATCTGTAACAATGACTTTGAACTCGTATGAATTTGAAAAGGGAGACCTTGTCACTCCACACCTGTACCGTCCTTCGTCAGACTTCATCAGCTGTGTGATGCTCACATACAACAACGAGTTTGCAGATTCAAGACTGTATCTGCCTTTCTGGGATGGTAAACCAAAGGTTTCAACGAGAACATCCTTTCTTTTGCATTCTCCCTTACAGAAGAACTTCCTGCCGAATTCTACAACCAGAGAGGAGCATTCAACTGTGATATTTTCTCCCTCTGTACCTTGAACGTACTGAAGAGTACCGGTCTCTCCATCACACAGTGCTCCTGAAAAGATCAACAGTGAATAATGACACTTCATGTATTGACTGCAGGTCAATGAGAGGTTATTAATCACTTTGCAGAGATGGTGCAGATTCAGTATTTCAGAACTTTTCACAGACTGTAGTGAGTTCTTTTGTTGTGGTTTAGTAGTAGGTCTACTAACAATAGCGTTAGCAGCTGTAACAAATACTGTAACTATGGAAGTAGAAGTAGCAGCTGTATAAGAGTTTGGCTTTGACCAACCTCTCTTGTTTTAGTTAAAAGCCCCATAATGTAACAAACACATCAGAATTTCAATGAGCATTTTTGCATATTATGATTTTTTTAAAAGGTTTTATACAGTATTTTAAACAACAAAGTACAAAACAATTAAGTATTTTGATACAAAAAATAAAGCCATTTTCATCAAACCATCAAATAAAATCCTAATCTGTATTATAAATACATGTATCATAAATACTGCCCATCCCTGCTTAGTAATAACTGACACCTGGCCTGAGGCCTGATAAGGCAAAGCAAGGCAAGTTTATTTGTATAGCACTTTTCAACAACAAGGTAATTCAAAGTGCTTTACATAAAACATAAAAGCAACAGGGAAATATTCAATTCAATTCAGTTTTATTTATATAGCGCCAAATCACAACAACAGTTATCTCACAGCGCTTTTCATAAAAGAGCAGGTCTAGACTGTACTCTGTGATGCTATTTACAGAAGCCCAACAGTTCCCACCAAGAGCAAGCACTAGACGACAGAGGCAAGGAAAAACTTCCTTTTAAGAGGCAGAAACCTCGAGCAGAACCATGGCTCAGGGTGGGCGGAGGGAGAGAGAGAGAGAGAGAGAGAGCAGGAGAGGAATAGAGAGAAAAAGAGAGGGATGTAAGGAGAGAGAGAGGGGGGGCAGGCAGCCTACACAATATACACACAGAGGTACAGACAGT